CACCCCTCCTGGGCACAGCCAGGTGAGCCACTAGGGGGCGCCGCTGGAGGCGCGGACAACGTGGAGCACCATTGCAGACGTCCCAGACGGTGGGCACTGAGGCGAGGCAGAGACCAAGGTTCACCACGCAGCAGGCGGGGAGGGTAACCCCTGCCCCACTGACGTATTTCTGTGCCTGCGCAGGGGCAGGGGTCTCCCGGAGAGATAAGTAGGAAAGGAAGGGAGCTGAGGCTACTCTCTTTCCCACCCCTGGTCATTGGTGGGGACTCGAGGACTGGACGTCCACAGGACTCGGGGAGTGATAAGGAGAGTGCGAACGAAGGAAGCAAACTTAGCTGAGCCAGAATCAGGGGGCCTCAAAACCGACCCTGCTTCAGCCGAGTCACCACCCTGCGCGTTCAGATTTCTCTGTGCTGAGTCAGTGGATAGACTTGGGGACCTGGACCTCAGGTTCTCCAAAATTCCAGACTGAATTTCCACAGGATTCCAGCAGTTTCCTCTGGGACCTAAACTTGTGCCCGGTTGTGTATACCCTGTGGCGGAAAATTTGGGGGCCCAACGTCCAGTGACCAACCTTAGAGAGTAGACACCTTTAATTAGGTTTTTCGAGTTGCTTTGGGCCATAGGGATTTGAGCAGGAAGCACAAGCCTCCGTAGAGTGGGGAAAAGTATCTCCTTTGGGCTGTACATCCACTGTGCATCCAACTCCAAGGCGGCAGTAAGTGACCTTGTCTCCGAGTTCCTGTCCTCATAGGCATGGACAAGAGGATGCGTAGGGACGCTCTATGGAAAGGCATCTCCTTTCCTTCACTGGTTGCGACCGGCAGTCTGAAACTCCAGGATGCGTCATCTGGGTTCCCAGCACTCAACACCCAGGCGACCCAGGCGGTCGAGCTCGTTAACTCAGCCTCGTGGCCGTCGGGCTATAAGGACCAGGGAGCGCCCCTTCCAGGACCCAGGCCGAGCCAAGAACACACACCAGGCGCCAAGCTCTGGACCGCTCCAAGCCCATCTTTTCTTTTCATGTCAAAACTCAAACCCAGATACATTTGTCACTGCGCAGTGCTGCTTCCGCTGTCCTGCGGGAGGCGGCCAGAGTAGGCGATCCCTCCTCGCCTCATCAGGCCTTGGAAGCCGAAACTGAGACTTGAGGGGCTAGGGAGTGCGGTTTCTTCCCAGCCCTCCTCCTGCTCCCAGGCTCTCAGTACTTATTGGGTCGGGAGGTGAAGCACTCGAGACGTGGAGAGGGATTGTGTCTACGCGGCCTCAACTTCAAAACCAGACTCGAAAAAGCCCACTTTCCTGTCCAATAGGATGCCTTTGTTGTGGCTGAGGCTGCGGCTGCCCTGCAGCCGCCTGGACTCCCGGGCCCCTTGTTGATCGCGTCGTATATCAGCCCCGCCCTGAATTTTAGTTTCACCTTTGGAATCTGAGAATTAGTCTCTCTCCGAAGACTAGCTAGAGGAAGTTAGAGAGGAGGGCCTGAGGCAATGGAAGTGGTGCAAGAAGGGGCGCCCTTAAGCCGACCTACCGGTGCCTGCATCTCGGCTGGGAATGGAGGTTGTCCACCACACCGGGTGAGACCACTGGCCCATGCCCCTTCCCGAGGACACTGAGGACAAACCAACTTGGCTTCCAAGACCTGATGAGGCGTGGAGGGATCGCCTACCCTGGCCTCCTCCCCCCCAAGACAGTGGAAGCAGCACTGGGGAGTGACAAATGTATCCGGGTTTGAGTTTTGACATGAATTCAAGCCGAGGGTGAGGATTTAAGCTGAGAGGGGCTGCAGTGCACATCATGAGCATATTCTCAGAGCGCGCTTACTTCTTTCTCCCACCCGCTGGCGGCCAGATCCAGGTCTTTTAAAAATGCTGTCCAAGTTCCATGAGGCCCCTGGAACTGCAGCCTGCACACTCCCACCTAGTCCTCAATCCCAGGGTGGCTCAAGGCACACTGACCGCACCCTCCCCCCAGGAAGCCTCAAGAATGCGTGTGGCTTGTAAATCTACTCATCTGTAAAATGGGAATAATAATAGAACCTCCCCCATAGAGTTGTGAGAAGCAAATGAGCTAATGAATGTAGAGTGATTAGCAGCGCCTGGCACCAAGTAAGTGCTCACTGCCTGTTATAAATAACAACAATAAGGGCTTTCACTTTTTGCAGACACATGTGCCACGTTTTACCTACTCAGGACTAACTAACCACTCAAACTATTCTGTTGGGGAGGTATTTCTACACACACACACACACACACACTATGTCATTGATGAAAAAACTGAGGCTGTGCCTGTGGCTCAAAGAAGTAGGGCGCCAGCCCCATATGCTAGAGGTGGTAGGTTCAAACCCAGCCCCAGCCAAAAACTGCAAAAAAAAAAATAAAAAAGAAAGAAAGAAAAACCTGAGACTCAGAAAGGCTGCGACACTAACTTGTCTGGGGCGGTTCAATCAGGAAAAGGCCAAGTTGGTTTGCACCTTGGGCAGCCTCTTTCTTTCTCCACAACTAGGGGACTGAACTTGGGGCCGAGCCTCGGTGGCCTGGAGGAGTGAATTCTCAGCCAAGTGACCAGAAATAGCAAGTGGCAGAAGCTGAGACCCTGGAGTCCTGTGCCAAACCACCAGCCTCCCCACCCACCCAACCAACCAGAGATTGGAGGCTGGTGCAGGGGAACTGGAAGGGGCCAGGCCATAGAGCTTGAGAGCTGCAGGGGGTCGCCCGGGGGCGGGGCCGGACCCCCACGTGCACCGCTTGCAGCCGCTCCAAGAAGCCCTTTGTCGCTAGCAGCAGCGTTCGTGCCGCACTCGGCGGGCTTAAAATAAAGACAATGTTCCCAGCCTCCCTGCGGCTAAATCCGGCGCGGGTGCGGGGGTGGTGAGCAAGCCGGGCGGGAGCTCTTCTCCCCGCCCTACCTCCCTTCCTCCTCTCCTGCCTCAGTTTCCCCATCTGGTTGGGGGGGTAGCCCAGTCTAGGAGGGGAAGCGAGGAGAATGATACAGTTGGGTGGGCGTCATCCCCCTGCCTCCGCAGCTTCCCCGACTTATTAAGGAAAATGCGTGGGGTAAAGAGGGGCACTCAGGAGGAGGCAGGGGAAAGCTGGACACCCTCCCCTCCCGCCCACAAAATAAGTGTTTTTATTTCTAAAGGGACGTGTGCAGAGGCGGTGGGAGAAGAGAAAAAGGAGACCAAGGAGATTGGGGGGAGGGGGCACAGAGGGAGCCTGATTCAGACTCGGAAATGAATGTTGAGCGTGGAGGCCTAACACCCCCACACTCAGCCACGTGTGTGCGCACAAGAATATGTAGCCCTGTACCGGGGGCACGAGCGGCTGCCGCAAGCCCAGGACAGCCCAGCAGGGGGCAGCCGGAGTCCAAGCCCACGGGGCGGGGACTGGTCAAGTTCTGGCCCAGTGACCTGCGGTGGCAGGGGGCTTTTTGGAGGTTATTCCTCTCCAAACTGCAGTGTCTGCCCAGCTCCAGAAGGGAGGCATGTGGGTGCTTGCTTGAGCCCCAGATGGCTTTGAGAAGCAGAGATGCCCCCACATCTACCTGCCACGTGTGCCCACCACTGGCACCTGATGGCTGCTGACCAAGCCCCAGGAACTCCAGTTTCTGCTCCACTTGGCTCCATCGGCAACTGGGCTCCTCGGCAAGGAAGCCCCAGATTACCCTCAGCCATCAGCATTGAGAAGGGGTGTTGGTGGGAAATGGGAAGGGGAAAGAGCAGGGCAGGCCCCAGCCCTTACCCCAAACTTCAGCACCCTGGGCTTAGAGCTAGGGGACTGAGTCCAAACACTTGCCCACCATATGTTAATCACACCTCTGCTCTTCAGTTTTCTCACCCACATAATGGGGATAATTTCCATCCCATTCCTTCCCACCTCTCATCCCAGGGCTTCAGCACTGCCCAGTGGAGCAGAGAACACAGCAGCCCCAGCAGCAGTCCAAGCAGCCTCCTAACCCTCCCCCATGGTCAGCTCTCCAGGAGGTCTCTAGGATAAAGGCGGGGCAGGACCCAGGTCTCTATGGCAAAAGGCCCCCCAGGGGTTCTATCTCTGAGGAAACTCAACACAAATCCAAAGGGCCTGGGAGGAGGGGTTCTGGCCAAGCAATACGTCCGAGGGAGGAGAGAACGAAGGACTCATTGCCTCCCAGGTACACACCTGTGAGCCCTGAGTGGGAGTCAGGGGAGACAGAGTTTGACAAGCTGGGAGGAGAGCTGTCTGTCTGCCTGTCTGTCTGTCTTCCAAGTGGAAACTGGGGGTGGAGCAGGCAGGGAGGTAGAGGCTGCCTCACTTGTCAGAATTAGCAAGTTTCACAGTTGGGCAACACTCAGACACGCACGGAACACAGACACACGCGTGCACATGCATCTTGCCTCCAAACAGAGAGGGTCATACCTGCACTTTCACAGGCTGCATGGCTACATGAGTACACAGAGACACACGCATGTGGGGCACTCAGCCGTGCATGGAGCAGGCACCTGCACCCCCCTCCCACTGATCCTCAACATCAGACACCCATATACCCTCACACAGACAGACGCTACAACACACAGCCCAGCACACAGGCACGTCCGCTCGCCCCCGGGCGGGTGTGCCAGCCCCCTGGGTCTATTCCAAGTTGGAGCCTCTCACGTGAGGCCCAATGTGTCATTTCCAAACAGAAGGAATCTAGCTTCCTTGCAGCAGGGAGGAAGAGCAGGGTGTGTGGCTGGGTGGGTGGGCGCGTGGGCATGTGCGGGGGGAGGGCATGTGTGTGAAGGAAGCAGGCATGTGAATACTGGGGCATGTGTGTTGTGGCATGATGCGCTCGGGTTGGGGGCTCTAAGGTTGGGTGGGGAAAGGAGGCTGGGGAAACAGAGTGTGCTTGTGAGGGGGTGTGTGTGCCGCCTGGTCTGTGTGCAGTGGGTGTGGGTGTTTGTCTCCCTGTATCCGCCTTCTCTCTCGTCCTGGACTTTTAGCCTTCCTGGGTTTACTTTCCTCATGTCTTGCCCCTTCCCTTTCGGGGCTCAAATTGGGTGCCCTGGTAGAGGAGGGGGGCAAGCTCCAGGACCTAGTCCAACCCCAGACACTGCTTGAGGCTTCCCTCTAGCTCCCCCTCCCTTCCTTTTCTCCCTTTCCTCCCTCCCTTTCTCCCTCCCCCCCCCCACCGGGCTGGCGTGCCAGGGGGTGGGACATGCCAATCACTGGCTGTGCCTCTCCCGCTGCCAGCACAGGGCGCAGCTCCCCCCGGGAGCCAGGTGTTTGGGTCCCTGGAGACGCTGCCGGCCCCCGGGGAGGTAGTGGGACTGAGGACCCTGCCGACCCCTCTCCAGCCCCTTGGTGAGTACATTTGGAAGGGCTTGGGAGGAGCTGCACTGAGATGGGGGCAGAAGCAGGGTCCTTGGTGGGGTAGGACAGCGAGGTGAATTAGACAGAAATAGGGATGGACCCCAGAGAGAGGAGGAGATCAGGGAGGGGTCTAGAGGGCAAAGGAGGCTATGTAGCATTGGACGTTGAGTGCTCCAAACACCCTGTCTCCTGGCTTTGAATGGATACATCTGATGTTTTTCTGGGCTTCAGCTGGCAGAGAAGATAGAGACCCCCTCAGGAAAATTGACCTGGGGCCCGCACGGAAGGGATTAGGCTGCGTTGTAGCAAATAGAGCCCCCAGCACTTAGGGAGCCAGGGGGCAGCCACCAGCATGCTGTGGGTGGTTGACCCCCCCCCTTAATTGGGGCATCTGTCCCAAAACCTCCTCCTCTCCTTCCTCAGGGTACCCTGAATCCCTCAACTCCCATCTACCTCAGCTTCCCGAAGATGGACTGAACCAGGCTGCTGGCCAGACAGACAAGCTGGATACTAAGGTGGGTCTCGGGGCCAGAAGCCAGCAGGAGACCAGGCAAAGAGCCCCAGGGCTCTTTGGGGACAAATGGGCACATGGATGGCCACGCCAGCCAGGAAACGTGGCCCTGACGTGTGCGGGGGCTCAGAGGGCCCTCCCTACATACCTAGTATCTTGGGCTACCACAGGGCAAGTCTTAGTCCCATGTCCAGGCAATGCATGGACATTAATGGGGACTTATACCAGGTACCCACCCCAGTGCCCTCAGACTCCACAATGTGGGAATAGGCTGGGGGCCAGAAGCTCTAGTTCTTGCAGACTTGCCAGCTCCTGGGTAGGCAGCTGGGGCGGGGGCAGTCAGCTTTCATTAGGTCATTCAAACACGTGCAACTGAGGGGTTGTCAGGGCCAATGAAGAAAGGTTCAGCGCTTCCCTCAAAGCACACCTGCAGCTCCACGCAGGCTGACCCAGGCCCCCTGCCCTACTGGCCGGAAGGAGTCAGGCAGTCTCTAACAGCCGGACAGTCTCCTGTCCCTGGGTAATCAGCTGCTCACTGAGCTGTCAGATGGGAGTTCTCTGCCACCTGACCTCAGCCACTAGGCAAGCTGAGATCGCTGAGATCTCCGCTGAGATATGAGAGAGGAGGAGATACTGAAATGGACTGCAGAAGATGGACTCTCTGCTGGCAGCTGGTGGCTGGAAGTCTGAGAGCTGGATCCTGGTGCAACCGGGAGCCCACAGTGCGAAAGGGCTGGGCAGACACCACGTAGGACTGAGAAAGGACCTTCCCATTGTACAGATGGAGGGACTGAGGCTGGGAAAGGGACATGTTCATGATCAGAGAAGGGATATTTAAGAGTCCATTGGGGCTTAGACACTTTCTCTCACCCTTAGCAAATGCTACAAGCTGCCACCTCCACGAACAGGAAGGTAGGGTGGGGGAGCAGGGGTGCAGCAAGCTCTATGAGGCAGGAGCTTGGGCTCCCAGCGGGTGGGGCAGAGAGAGGTGGGTGAAAACGCTGGGTTTCTGCCCTGCTGTGGTACCATGGTGATGCCTACAAGGACGGGGGAGGGAGAGAGAAGAAAGGAAATGGGGAGGGGAGTGCCGGAGCAGGGGGCATGCCAGTGAGGAGCATGAAGGGCTTGGCACCTCTGATGCTACATTGACAGTGCCAGAGTAAGGTCTAGGGCCCAGTCTGTTAACGCCAGCCTCTGGCATAGTCCAGCTAAAGTCAGGCAAATTTGGCAGTGCTTCTAGGGCTGATGCTCCTCAGCTTCTGGCTGAGCAGTGCATTTATGCAGCATTTAACTGATGGCTGCTGCCCCCCACAGGGCTAGCTGGCACTCCCAGTGGTGACTATTAAACCCGAAAATGTGATAAATCCTATTTGTTTACTCCCTTGTGCCAAAGGCCAGGCATCAGGGGTGGAAGTTTCATACACCTTTAATGGGTTAAGAGCTATCTCTAGAGAGAACTTAACCCAGGGCAAGAGAGCTGCCTTGGGCAGGCTAGCTTCTAGGTTAAGGCCCGAGCAGAAAGAACCTTTGGATAGACCTGACCAGAAGAAGCACCCTCCTCACTGCACATGTGAGGCCAAAGGTGCCCAGCCCCACAGGACCCTCCTCATACCTCTTCTCCTCAATATTGTCCTGTCTCCCTAGCCAGGGTTCTGCTGATTTCCAGACCTAGACTCACAAGATGGCTCCACTCTTCCTCCTAAATTTCTGCCCCAGCATCCTTTGCCTTTCCTTCTACACTCCTTGGCCAACAATAAAGTTCAGGGAAGCCTAGTGTTCAGGAGCCCCTCTCCCCAGCTCTCTCCCACTGCCTCCCCCTGTGGCTCTTCCCCCCCCCCCACTCTCACCAGCCAGATCCCCAGCCCCTAGGGACTGGTCCAGGGCCCTGGCCGTCAACAGTCTGGCCTGCTGCACCAGAGTCTCTGACCTCATCCCTTAACCCTTTGAGCCCAGGCTAACATTTTCATCCCCCAACAGTGACAGCCACCATCAACAGTGACAGGCACCATAGTATGTCCGCACCTATCCTGTCACCTCACTTACGTTCCCTGCAGCTGAATGACGCAGGGTTTCCTTGATCCATTTTACAGACGAGGGGTTCTTAGCTATTTTCTCCCCTGCTCTCATGCCAGGCAGGACCTCACCCAAGGAAGTAGGGGCTGGGCAGATGGGGGAATGTGGGGAGGTGGAAGAAGCAGAGGGGTTCTGAGCCATGCTCAGGAGCCAGTCCTGACACCAGCAGACCTATCCTCCACATGAAGTCAAATACACATTCATGTATTTATTCCACAGATGTTTACTGAGTAACTACTATGTGCAGGCCTTGGGTGATGAATGAAGTAATGAATGAAGCAGACACAGCCCCTACCCTGCCTCTCATAGAGCTCCGGCTGGACCTCCCCATTCCCACAGGGCTGTCACCATATATCACCTGGCTAAACAGACACGCACACAGCCCAGATTCTGTAGGAAGGATCAATTCCTCACTGTTAACTGACTGAAACTAGGGCTTGGCCAAGCTAGTTGAGGTGGGCAGGGATGCTGACAAACCCTTTATCCCCTCAAGAGCAGTTTGTCTTGGAGGTAGACTGCCTGGTCCAAATCATGGTTGCATCGCTGCTGAGCTATAAGGTCCTTGAAGTTTTTGTTTTGGTTTGGTTTTTTGCTTTTTTTTTTTTTTTTGAGACAAAGTCTCACTGTGTCACCCTCAGTAGAGTGCTGTGGCATCACAGCAACCTCAAACTCTTGGGCTTATAACAGTCTTATAAATTAGATCAGTTATATAATGTTTAGGGCCATGTCAGTATATAGTAAGCAGCCAGTAAATATCAGCTGCTATGATAACATTAGTAGTATTTTGTTTTCATTAGTGTTATTAAAGGCTCCCAACAGCCTCTGTCAGGAGGCCACAGTCCTAAGCAGAAAAACACCTCCCCACTCCTTTGCTACTTTCTTATACCCCATGAAACCCTCTGAGGATGGGTCCCAACTCATCCTCACCATTCTTAGCCTCTCTTAGCAATGCACATACCCTCACTCACAAATACCCTATCTAAGAGTTCACTGCCAGCCCACAGAACGGTAACAAGGTCAGGACAATGACTTGCCTAAGGTCACACAGCAAGACAAGAGCTTGCAGAAAGGCAGAGACAATGCCAAAGGCTGCCTTGGTCAGGAGGCTTCCTCCCACCTACTGCAAACCCCATTGATGAACTCTCTCAGCCTTTATGGATGTCTTTACAGAATGTGCTCTGCAAATTCAGCTTCAAGACACCCTTCCAAGCCTCCTTTATAGAATTTCTGGAGCTATTGCTGAACCCTGAACTCTAACTCTCAGCCCCAGGCTGGTCTCCCCAGGGGAATCTGCCACAATTACAGGAAACCAGGTTCTTCCACAACTATCACCTTGTGTGCCCCACAGTAGCCTTAAACAGGTAGAGGATTGCCCTGAGTCAAGAATTAAGGATACCTGGACTAGGTCATGCAGCAGGGACAAGAGCACTGCTCTAGAAGCCTTCTCTTGAGCTCTTTTACTGTCCAAAATAGCGTTTGGGGAGAGGGAGCCCTGTTCTGATTGTGGAGAACGAATTGACGAATCTGTTCTTCATCAGGGGACAGACAAGGCTCCTCACAGAGGAAGAAGTTGCCCAGAACCACTGCCCCTCTCCACCAACCCCAGCCACCCCAGATGGGAGGCCTTAGCCATCACAGCACACAGGTGGGGCAGAAAGGAGTTGCCCAAGTGGAAAGAACACAAACTTAGCACCTGCGGGTCTGGGTCAGAATCCCAACTCCACCTGTGTGGGACCATCAGCAAACCACTTAGACCTCGGAGCCTCAGTATCCTCACCTGTAAAATAAAAATAGAAACCCCAATGGGTGTCCATTAGGTGTCCTATGATTACGGAAAATAATATCATACATCAAGTGCCTGGCAAGCACGAGGTACCAATTATGGTGGTTATCAATAGGACTATTTAAGTGGGAGAACTGGAAGGGACTTCCATATATCAAGGCAAGGGACTGCCAATTTCTTTACCTCCAAGGTCCCCTCCCACTTATGTTAATTCTCCCAGGTCCTCGTTCCAAAGCAATTTTTAATTCCCCACAGTTTTATAGCCAGCCTTGTGATAGGCAGAAGTCACCAAATTCCCATGCTGAGTTGATGCCATTCCAGTCCCAAGTAGAGCAACCTAAGTGAGTGCTCAGCCTTCCCCCAGGGTTTGAGTCCTTTTTGTTCAGCATCTTGAGATGTTGGTTTGGCGACTCCATAAAATCTCCCCAGACGGCAAGCTGGTCCAACTCCTCCACTTAACTGGAAACCAGAGAGGGGCCGTGGGAGTCTGGAGGGGAAGGGGCTTGCTGAGAAGGGCTGAGCAGTGGAGGACTATAGTGGAGTGCCCGTTTCAGTTCCAGGAGCTGGGGGATAAGGGCAGTAAGTGAATGAAAATTGAGTGATTGCTGATGGTCACACAGCTAGGGAGGGACAGTTCCAAACTCAAGGCTGAGATCTACAATTTTAGGACTAGGATGAGTTAAGTCAGACACTCACCACAGAGCAAAATTTCAAAGAGGGCACAGAAAGACTCACTAATCAAGATAAATAATAATGCAATATAATATTTTAAAAAGTCGGCTCGGCACCTATAGCTCAACCAGCTAAGGCGCCAGCCACATACACCTAAGGTGCCGGGTTCAAATCCCCAGCCCAGACCCGCCAAACAACAATGACAGCTGCAACCAAAAAAATAGCTGTAGCCGGGCGTTGTGGCAGGCACCTGTGGTCCCAGCTACTTGGGAGG